TGCCAGCAGTCGCGGTAATACAGGGGAGACAAGTGTTATTCATCTTTATTAGGTTTAAAGGGTACCTAGACGGTATTTATAGCCTGAATAAGGTACGTATTTACTAGAGTTTTATATAGGAATTTAAAGTTTAGTATTAAGAAATTCAAATAAGTTACTTTTTTTTTTGAATGGTGTGTTGCGTTCTAAATTTAAAAATAATTCGTACTGTATTGTTTTATTGTAATGTCGACTTATTACAATAATTATAATTAATATTGTCTTATTTTTATAATAGGAATACAATATTCCCTCTTTTTACTGGATTAATATCTGAACGGTGGTGTAGAGATGAAATTCGTTGATACCATTTGGACAGGTAAAGGTGAAAACAGAATTCTATGTAAAAACTGACGTTGAGGGACGAAGGCTTGGGTAACGAATAGGATTAGATACCCTAATAGTCCTTGCAGTAAATTATGAATGCCATATGATTGGGTTATTGAAATATAGTTTAATAAAAAGCTGATTGCTTTTTTTATGTTTTTACTGATTATATAAATGAAAGTGTAAGCATTCCACCTCAAGAGTAATGTGGCAACGCAGGAACTGAAATCATTAGACCGTGTCTGAAACCAGTAGTGAAGTATGATATTTAATTCGATAGCCCGCGAAGAACCTTACCAAAATTTGAATAAATTGTATCATTATGAATTGTTCTTTATTTGTCAGCTAAACACTGACAAAATTAAGGATAACCATGACATTTCTGTTAGTCCTTTATTTCTCAGACCCCTTTTTTCGGGGACTTAACAGATATACTTTTTACAAGTGTTGCACGGCTGTCTTTAGCTAATATCGTGAGAAATGATTAGATTCAGTAATTAGCGTATAACCCTCTTTATATTTTTTAATTTTATATTATATAAGGCGTTTTTCTTCTGCGACTTCGTGGAAGCATAATAGGGATTAAGACAAGTCATCATGACCTTAATTATTTTGGGCTATAGTCGTGCCACATATACCTATACAAAGGGATGCAAAAATGGAAATTTTAGCTAACCCCATAAAATTGGAAAAAAAATGAATTGTAGTCTGAAACTCGACTGCATGAAAAAGGAATTACTAGTAATCGTGTTTAATTACGGCACGGTGAATTGAATCTCAGATGGGTACTAACCACTCGTCAGGCGCTGAAAGAAGTATGTGCAATAAGTTTGGTTACTATTGATTTTGATTCATAAATATTGATGTTTAAATAATTTGACTCTTAACCTTCGTATGCATGACTTTAATTGGTGTTAAGTCGAAATACGGTTCGTGTAGTGGAAATTGCACGGGAAAAATTTAAGAGCCACAATACCCCGGCGCTATTTAAATTAATATTTCTTTACATAAATATTTGTTTAATTTCTGTTTAATTTCTGTTTAATTTCTGTTTAATTCGACTTTCTTTCCTGGTACTAGATTAATGAATTTAACAATATAATAATTATTTTAACTTTTTATAATTTCCTTAAAGTCTTTATAATATTAATGCGGATTGATGTAATAGTAGCATATTTGGCTCATGCCCAAAACCGAAAAGGTGCAAATCCTTTATCCGCTTCAACCTATGTATCTGGTAAAAGATCTTTCAACTAATGAAATTTTTTAATGAACTTTTATGCCAGATACATTTAATCGATATTTAGTTACAAATAAAAATTTTAAGTGTTTTTATTGTATAAATATATATATAATTTAATTTACAATAAAGAAATTAGATTTATTCTAATACTTCTTTTTTATTCTAATACTTCTTTTTTATTCTAATACTTCTTTTTTTTTTATAAATATTTCTTTTATTAATATATTAAGTATATTAATAAGATATTTATAGATAGCTATTGACTACTAAATATATTTATTATTATCGATTTGTTCCTATGTATGAGATAACAAAAAAAAATGATTGTATCACAAAGGTCTTTCTTTCAAGCACACCCTTTTCATTTAGTGTCACCTTCACCTTGACCTATTTTAACTTGTATTAGTTTATTCACTTTAACTACAACAGGTGTATCAACCATGCATAACTTCGAACATGCTAATTTTAACCTGTATATTTCTTTTATAACTTTAATTTTATCCATGTCATTATGATTCAGGGATATTATAAGTGAGGGTACATATTTAGGTAACCACACTTTAGCAGTACAAAAAGGACTTAATATGGGTGTAGCATTATTTATTGTCTCTGAAGCTTTGTTTTTCTTAGCAATTTTCTGAGCTTATTTCCATAGTGCACTATCTCCTACTATTGAATTAGGAAGTCAATGACCTCCTATGGGTATAGAACCTATTAATCCTTTCGAACTTCCACTTTTAAATACTATCCTATTACTGTCTTCGGGGATAACTGTAACATATGCCCATCATTCTTTAATTAAAGGGGATAGAAAAGGAAGCTTATATGGCTTAGCTTATACTATTATATTAGCTATAATCTTTACAGCATTTCAAGGTATTGAATATACAGTTTCATCTTTTACATTAAGTGATGGTGTTTTTGGTTCCTGTTTTTATTTTGCCACTGGTTTTCATGGTTTACATGTTATAATCGGTACTGCCTTTATAGCTGTAGGCTTATGAAGAACCTTAGCTTATCATATAACAGAAAATCATCATTTAGGCTTAGAGTCTGGAATATTATATTGACATTTTGTAGATGTTGTATGATTATTTTTATTTATTTCCATTTACTACTGAGGAAGCTAATCAAACTTTATGCAAAATTTATAGCTCTTTATTTAATATTCATATAATATTATTATATACATTATGTTATAATGTCTGAGGTTTAGACATATTCAGCTTTAATATAATTTTTGTTTTATAAATATTAATCTATTTATATATAAAATAAATATTGTTATATATATATATATATAGATAATTTTGATGAAATAGGTGACATATTATTCATATATATATATGATTATTAATCGGTATAATCTTAGCTCCATGTGATTACAACATTTTCATGTATATAGTATGGTTTTTATGATTTCATATCATAGAACTATATACTTTAATAAGATTAAATGAAAATAGTACAAAATAGTATAAAAAAAACTTAATATTCTATTTTTTATGATTTTTTATCATAGAACTATATTATTTAATTTTATTAAATAAAAATAGTACAAAAAGGACTTAATATGGTTGTAGCATTATTTGTTGTTTCTGAAGCTTTGATTTTCTTATCAATTTTCTGAGCTTATTTCCATAGTGCACTATCTCCTACTATTGAATTAGAAAGTCAATGACCTCCTATGGGTATAGAACCTATTAATTCTTTCGAACTTCCACTTTTAAATATTGTTGTCTTCGGGGATAACTGTAACTTATCCCCATCATTCTGTAATTATAGGGGATAAAAAAAAAGCTTTTTTTTTAACTTAAAGCCAAGATAGTTCAATTGGTTAGAACATTAATTTCATGCATTAAAGATAGGAATTCGACTTTCTTTCCTGGTACTAGATTAATAAATTTAACAATATAATTAATTTAACTTTTTATAATTTCCTTAAAGTATTTATAATATTAATGCGGATTGATGTAATAGTAGCATATTTGGCTCATGCCCAAAACCGGAAAGGTGCGAATCCTTTATCCGCTTCAATCTATGTATATGGTAAAAGGTCTTTCAACTAATAAAATTTTAAGGAACTTTTATACCAGAAACTCTTAATAAATATTTAGTTACAAATAAAAAATTTAAATGTATATATTGTATAAAGATATAATTTAATTAAATAAATAAATTAGATTTATTATAATTTATAAAATTATATTTTATTTTAGGTAAAAAAGGTATGACACATCAAGTTTTTTTCAACCCTGATTAGACAATTTCTACTTTATTTTCAAATTTGGATGTTACCGGAGATATGTGAGCTAGTCCTGACCCCTCTATCACGAGAGAAGTTAATGCTTGGACTATAGAAGTAGTTAATACTCAATTTTTATAAGGTCTTGGCAATAGTCTAAGAGCTATAGATACAACACGAGATTGATAAGGTAATAGTTTTATCTTTACTATATATAACCCGATGCTTATGTACATACCTACAACAACTGTAACAGAGATTACAACTGCTACTACTCTCCAAAGTTATTCAAACCGTGACAGAAACTGCGACTGTTCCTACGACTACTAATTCTTTTAAGAGTATAGGAGCAGGTTAAATAGGAATAGCATATTGTTGGCGACTTATGTATGTAATTCTATGATGGGTTATATATATTGTGTCTTTTAAAGAGATTTGCTAGTGTAATAAGCTTATCTTATTCATCTGCATTACTTTTTTTTATTACCGTCTAATGGTTACCTTTTAAGTTATAATATGGAAAATAAAAACATAATTGCTATCAGTATTTTAATCGCTCTTGGTCCTTATTTATCTTATCTCATTTCTCCTGTGGATAGGGGAGCTGGAGCTTTGTCAACAAATACTTATGTTCTACATGGATATTTATCATGTAAAAAAAAAAAATAGATAATATAATAATAAATTATTGAAAATACAATAAAAATCTAGGGTTTATGTATAAGATATAATTTTATTTGAATGTATTTAAAAATTTAATATATAAAATAGCACCTTTTATATAATCTTAATTATTACAATTATAAAAAAATTACCTAAATTTGAGTATATACTTATAAGGGATGTTAATTATTTAATTACAAAAATATGCTTTTATTCCTATTATTAACACCTTTGATAGGTATTTTCTTTCTAATTACAAATCTATTTTTTAATAGTAATAATACACATATGTATAAATCTATTTCTTTATTAGTATCCTTATTTAATTTAATATTATCACTTTTTATTTTTATCTTTTTTGATTATAGTTTTAATCAATACCAATTTGTTCAAGAACATCATGAAATTAATGGATTTAATTTTTATTTGGGTATTGATGGTATATCTATTTATTTTGTATTGTTAACAACAATTATATTACCTATTTCTATATTATCTAGTTGAACATCTATACATAACAATGTAAAATTATATTTTGTTATAATGTTATTACTAGAAACACTTTTATTAGCAGTATTTTTAGTTTTAGATGTTTTTTTGTTTTATATTTTTTTTGAAAGTATTTTACCCCCATTATTTTTATTAATAGGTATATATGGTTCCAGTAATAAAGTAAGGGCTAGTTTTTATTTATTTTTATATACTCTACTTGGCTCATTATTTCTATTATTATCGATACTTAGTATGAATTCAATAATGGGTACTACAGATTTTGATGGTTTATATAAAACTAATTTTAACTATAATACACAGTTATTTTTATTTTATGGTATCTTTATAGCCTTTGCAGTAAAAACACCTACTATTTTTTTAAACACATGATTATTAAAAGCTCACGTTGAGTCACCATTAGGCGGAAGTATTATATTAGCAGCAATTGTCCTAAAATTAAGTTTATATGGAATACTTCGTCTAATATTACCTTTACTACCTAAAGCTTCAATGAATTATACATATATTGTATATATAATAGGTGTAATCACTATCATATACGCCAGTTTTAGTACTTTGAGAACTATAGATATTAAAGAACTCATAGCTTATAGTTCCGTTTCTCATGCTTCTGTTTATTTATTAGGTTTATTTAGTAATTCAATTCAAGGTATAGAAGGTGGAATCGTCTTAGGATTGGCTCATGGTTTTGTGTCTAGTGGTTTATTTATATGTGCTGGAGGTATTTTATACGATAGATCATCGACTAGATTAATAACTTTTTATAGAGGTATAACTCAGTTAATGCCTTTGTTTTCTATATTTTTCTTTATTCTTTGTTTAAGCAATGCAGGTACTCCTTTATCTCTAAATTTTATAGGAGAATTTTTAAGTCTTTACGGTACTTTCGAAAGATTACCTTTATTAGGTATTTTTGCTAGCTCTTCTATAGTTTTTTCTGCAGCATATACTATTTATATGTATAATAGAATAGCATTTGGAGGTAAGTATTCTAAATATTTTGTAATTAATATACCTGATTTAAATCAACGTGAATTTATTATTCTATTAACCCTTGTTATATTTACAGTAATATTGGGGGTATATCCTTCTATTATTCTAGACGGCTTACATTATAGCGTGTCTCTTTTGATATATCGTTCTTAAATATTTTTATATAACACATAATGTATGAGTTTCAACAAATACATGACTAATTTACATAATTCTATCGTTTTTAACTGATCTATTATATTTATTTTCAATATATATAATATTATCGATTTGTTCTTATGTATGAGATAACAAATAAAAAATGCGAAAGTTTCATAATTCAACTATTTTCCATTGTTCTATCTTATTTATTAATAATATATTAATATTAAATACATCTTTTTCTTTTTTCTGGCGTTTAGACCTATTTAGCTTTAATATCATTTTCGTTTTATTAATATTAATTTATTTATATGAAAAATCAATATTTATATATATAAATATGCAAAAATTTTATAACATATTTGACATATGGCTAGTTACAGGAGTATGATTAATCATCGGTATAATGTTAGCCCATGCTACTTATGATCATAATTATATTTTAATGTATATAATATATATTTTTTTGGTTTCATATCATAGAACTACTCTATTTAAATAAGTGAAGGTACTTATTTAGGTAATCACATTTTAGCTATACAAAAAGGACCTAATATGATTGTAGCATAATTTATTGTCTCTGAAGCTTTGTTTTTCTTAGCAATTTTCTGAGCATATTTCCATAGTGCATAACTTCGAATATGCTAATTTTAACCTATATATTTCTTTTATAACTTTAACTTTATCCATGTCATTTTGATTCCGAGATATTATAAGTGAGGGTACATATTTAGGTAACCACACTTTAGCAGTACAAAAAGGACTTAATATGAGTAGCATTATTTATTGTCTCTGAAGCTTTGTTTTTCTTAGCAATTTTCTGAGCTTATTCCCATAATGCACTATCTCCTACTATTGAATTAGGAAGTCAATGACCTTCTATGGGTATAGAACCTATTAATCCTTTTGAACTTCCACTTTTAAATATTGTTGTCTTCGGGGATAACTGTAATTTATCCCCATCATTCTGTAATTATAGGGGATAAAAAAAGCTTTTTTTTAACTTAAAGCCAAGATAGTTCAATTGGTTAGAACATTAATTTCATGCATTAAAGATAAGAATTCGACTTTCTTTCCTGGTACTAGATTAATAAATTATTCCTAAAATAATAATATATTTTAATTATTATGCACATATATATATATATCATGTTATAAAATATCTGTCTTTAAAAAATTTTTTTTATTGAAGGAAAATCTGGCACTATTCTCTTTTTAAATAAAAATTTTTGATGGTTTAACAGAAAATAATTTTATATAAAAATGCAAAACTAGCCATCTTATAGTCTTTATATGAGTATCATTATATATAAACATAAATCAGGTTAAATATAACTAAAATATATATTTTATATGTTTAGGTTTTACTAAAGTACGGTAATAAAGTTTCATATTATAGATATAAACTAAAAAAAAATAAAAAAATAAAAAAAAACATAAGTATTCGAATATAAAAACGTAAGTATTCGAATATAAAAAATAAAAAAAAAGAATAAAGGAAGGTCCCGTTTGTTGGTATGACGGGTTGAGCTGTAAACTCAATGGCAATTGCTATCAAAGGTTCAATTCCTTTTCTTCCTATTAACTATATATGTGATTATATAGTTAAACTGTATTAGAGTAAATTAAGATTTTGTTTATTATAGACTACTTTAGCTATATAATATCTTTTCTTTAAATTAAATTGTAGAAAGGTTCATTTCGGTTTGATTACTACATTTAATACAAAGTTTGTAATTACACCTGTAAATACACCTGTAAGTACAGGTTTTTCAGTACTTATTTTTGTCTATAGACTATTAAAAGGGTTACGTTTGTTGCTTTTGTGCCTAGATATAGATATAGAGATTGATACTAGTATAAATTGTTTTGGTTGAATTATAGAAAATATTCATGAGACTATGGTGAATTTTTTACTTCTAAGTGGGGGAATTTTAATACTTCCGTATGTATATTTAAATAGTCTTAAAAAACCACACCCTAATATAGATTTGCCTTTACAAAGTTGTTTAAGTGAATTAACTGATATATTATCTAGTTTAGATTATATGTTACCTAAATTATCTCAATTTATAGATCAGTTTCATGTTGTAGTACAAACTCATGAAATTAATGTTATAACAGATTCGGCTGGGAATATGTCTATCGATGTACCTGGTAATATGCCTAGTGTAGTAGAAAAAGAAATAACTAAAAAAATACAAATAATGGACAAATTAATTAAAAGTCAAGGTTTTGAAATAAATAATTTGTTTCAGAAAGCTCACTCTATTGAAAACAATATAAAACTTGTTAAACCCGAATACAACTCTAAAATAATAGAGCAGTTATCAGCATTTAACAAGTTAAATGCTTCATATAAACATTAAAATCCTTTTTTTTAATTCATTATAATGAATAGTTGATGGCAATTAATTAAAATTACTTTATAATTTAATTTTAATTTAGCTATTAATGAATTTATCCTCTATTGTTTCTTATTATAATGCACTAAATACTAATTTAGTATTGGCTTTTCTATTTAATACAAAACTTTGAAGTAGAGTTATTACAATAATTATTTTAATGCTAAGAACATTTAGAGGTTTATGATTATTTAGTTTCATAGTCCTAGATAATATAACAATTTATACTAGTTTATATAGCTATATCTCAGGTTTCAAAAACAACTTAATAAAGCCAGCACACATGGCTTGTGACAATACTATTATGATGAACTTCTTACTTCTGTGTGTAATTTATCTATTCATAACTCTAACTCCTACTTATAAAAATTATCTGCAGATTATCTTGTATAAATTTTATAGAAATTTAGAATGATGTTTAACTACCCCACCTAAAGCTTATGCTTTTGTGACTTTATCTTTGCAAAGTTGTATGGAGGACATAACTATACTTAAAGATATATTGTCTAATATTGATAGTATCCTAGGACACTATAAAGGCTTTGTACTTCAATTTAATAAGATAGCTGAAGAATTTCAGGTTGTAGTTATATGAGATAGTAAAGGTGCTTTTGGTATAGAAACTTATGAAGCTTTGCCTGAAGATACTACTAATCATGTCCTAAAAAAAATGGAGATAATTCATAATCTCATGGAAAGTCAACATGGTAAACTTCATAATCTATATACTAAAGGATTGGATTTAAAAGTTCCATCTAAAATGCCTGAAACTTCTTATTTATTGTCTAAGATCGACGAAATACGCGATCTTAAAAAATTAAGTCAACTTCATCATGAAAAATCATAAGAGTTTTCATAAGGTTTAGGGGGGGGGGTTACTTAAACGCCTTTATATCAAATAAATTTGTATAAGATATGGTATGATAAATAATTTATCTATTGCTTTCAGTAAATATCTCTTTATATTTACTAGTAATGATTAAATTTTTGCTAGAGTTAGTAGCTTTTAATATTTGCATAAAGCTACTAACGTGGAGGATGAGGTCGGCGGCGAGGTCCTCGGCAAGGCTCACGGTAAGACCAGCGTCAGCGCTGAATATACTAATAGAGAGAGTATAAAAGAAGTAAAAGAAGTAAGCGACCAGATAAGCTCCCAATGAACGGAACGATGGTCTATGTCATCTAATGCCAAGGATATCGGAACACTGTATCTAATATTTGCCCTATTCTCGGGACTTTTAGGTACAGCTTTCTCGGTACTCATTAGGCTAGAGTTATCTGGTCCAGGAGTTCAGTTTATAGCTGATAATCAGCTATATAACAGTATTATCACAAGTCATGCCATCGTTATGATATTCTTTATGGTAATGCCGGCCCTGATAGGCGGTTTCGGGAATTTTCTCTTACCATTACTCGTAGGTGGACCTGATATGGCTTTTCCAAGACTTAATAATATAAGTTTTTGGTTATTGCCTCCAAGTCTATTCTTATTTATATTTGCGGGTGGAATAGAAAACGGTGCAGGTACAGGATGGACTCTGTACCCCCCTCTATCAGGAATTCAAAGCCATAGTGGTCCTAGCGTAGATTTAGCAATTTTTGGTTTGCATTTATCTGGGGTAAGTAGTTTATTAGGAGCTATGAATTTCATCACAACGATTTTGAATATGAGAAGCCCTGGTATTAGATTACATAAATTGGCTTTGTTTGGGTGGGCAGTCCTGGTCACTGCTGTTCTATTGCTATTATCATTACCTGTTTTAGCAGGTGCCATCACTATGGTTTTGACAGACAGAAATTTTAACACATCTTTCTTTGAAACTGCCGGAGGTGGTGATCCTATTTTATACCAACACCTTTTTTGATTTTTTGGTCATCCTGAAGTTTATATATTAATTATCCCTGGATTTGGAATAGTAAGTACTACTATTTCAGCTAGTTCGAATAAAAGTGTGTTTGGTTATTTAGGTATGGTATATGCTATGATGTCTATAGGTGTGTTAGGTTTCGTGGTTTGAAGTCACCATATGTATACTGTTGGTTTAGATGTTGACACAAGGGCTTATTTTACAGCAGCTACATTAATAATCGCTGTACCTACCGGTATAAAAATATTTTCATGATTAGCAACTTGTTATGGAGGTTCATTACATTTAATACCTTCCATGCTATTTGCTTTGGGTTTTGTATTTATGTTTACAATAGGAGGATTAAGTGGAGTTGTTTTAGCAAACGCTTCACTAGATATTGCTTTCCACGATACATATTATGTTGTAGCTCATTTTCATTATGTATTAAGTATGGGTGCAGTTTTTGCGCTATTTAGTGCATGATATTTTTGAATACCTAAGATATTAGGTTTAAATTATAATGTAATGTTAGGTAAAGTTCATTTTTGAATTTTATTTATAGGTGTTAATGTTACATTCTTTCCTCAACACTTTTTAGGTTTACAAGGTATGCCTAGAAGAATTAGTGATTATCCTGATGCTTTTGCAGGTTGAAATTTAGTAAGTAGTTTCGGATCCATTATCTCTGTAATAGCTACTTGATTATTTTTATATGTCTTATATATTCAACTAGTACAAGGTAAAGCAGTATCAAGATATCCTTGATATACTCCTCAATTTTATACTGATTATTTACAAAGTTTATTAGAAAAATCCTATACTAGTTTAGAGTGATGTTTAAGTAGTCCACCAAAACCACATGCTTTTGTGAGTTTACCTTTACAAAGTATTTCGCTTTCTTTATTGAATATAATTGACTTAAATAACTTAATAAGGATATGAAATAACCTCATATCCTTATGTGATGCTCCACGTCCTTGAGGTCTATACTTTCAAGATAGTGCTAGTCCTCAAATGGAAGCTTTAGTGGAATTACATAACAACATTATGTTTTATTTAGTTATTATATTATTTGGAGTAGGCTGAATATTAGTATCAATAGTCTTAAATTTTGTTGAAACAAAGTCACCTATAAGTAATAAATATTTAAACCACGGTACACTTATAGAATTAATTTGAACTATAACTCCAGCTTTGATTTTAATTTTAATCGCTTTCCCTAGTTTTAAATTACTATACTTAATGGATGAAGTGACCGACCCTAATATAACCATTTTAGTTGAAGGACATCAATGGTATTGAAGTTATTTATATGCTGATTTTTTAAATACAGAAAACGAGTTTATAGAATATGATTCCTATTTAGTGCCAGAAACGGATTTAGAAAAAGGTGGACAAAGATTGTTAGAAGTAGATAACAGATTAACGTTACCAGAAGAAACTCATATTCGCTTTATTGTAACAGCTGGCGATGTAATACATGGTTGAGCTGTACCTTCTTTAGGTATAAAATGCGATGCGTATCCAGGTAGATTAAATCAAATATCTGTATTAATGAATAGAGAATGTACTATGTACGGGCAATGTTCTGAAATATGTGGAATTTTACATAGCTCTATGCCAATTGTAATAGAATCACTAAAGTTAGAGAAATTTTTACATTGATTAATTAACCAGTAAATTAAGGATAAATATATAAAACCTTATAACACTAAAAAAAACAATGTAAAAGATTCTAAATTTTAAAGAATATAGTATTAAATAATGTGCTACTAGTAATTAGCTATAAAAAAACCAACATTATATATGTGATTAGTTTTAATCAAGGAAATAATACTGAAGCTAATACTGGTGTGCCTGTGCCTAGTTATAAGGCTTCTGCGAATACTGGTGTGCCTGTGCCTAGTAATCAGAATTCAGCGAATACAGGCGTACTTACTGATAACAATCAGGGTAATACGTTTGCTAATAATACTCAAAATAGTTACCCTGGAAGAAGTAACTATACAATTTATGTAGATTAAAGTTATACTAATTATAAGAGAAACTAGCTATTTTAATTAAATTGTGTAGTTATAAGATAAACTAGCTATTGTAATTAAATTGTGTAGCTAAATTTAACTTTAGCTTCTTTTTTTATTATTGTGGATATAATAATAGAAATATTATTTGGTAATACTTTTTAGTCGCAATTTTGTGATTTGTGATTTCTTTTTGATAAAAAAGTATTGTCTTATGTTTATTTTAGGCTTTATTTTTTTAGTTGCAATTTTCTGAATTGAAATTTATTTTAGGCTAAAAATAGCTATATAATACTTAGTTTTTTATAAACACCCCTATTAGCTTTTTTAATCTATAAATCCATTATAAAAAAAAAAAGGAAGATTTTGGTAAGATGGCTTAAGTTGTAAATTCAACGGCAATAGCTACCAAAGGTTCAATTCCTTTTCTTTCTATTAACTATATATGATTGTAATGATTAATATATAGTTAAAAATATATTCGGATATTGTTTATTTTTTTTAATTATATAAACATAAATTAGCCTTATTAGGCTGAACGCTTTTACTTTCACTCGTAAGACTTTTATATTAAATTTTTCAGATCTTTTTACAGGTAAACACACAATATTTTTTTCTTATGTATATTTCATTTATGATTTTTTTAGTAGGAATTTTAGGATTTGTTTTAAATAGAAAAAATATAATTTTAATGCTTATTTCTATAGAAATAATGTTATTATCTATTACTTTTTTAATTTTAATTAATTCATTCTATTTTGATGATATTTTAGGACAAACTTTTGCTATTTATATAATAACTATAGCAGGAGCCGAATCAGCTATAGGTTTATCTATACTTGTGGCTTTTTATAGATTAAGAGGTAATATCACAATTGAATTTAAATAAATGTACTTGACTATTATTATATTACCCTTGTTAGGGTCAATTCTTTCAGGTTTTTTTGGGCGAAAAGTTGGTATATCAGGATCACAATTAATTACATGTACATGTGTAATTTTAAGCACTCTCTTAGCTATTGTTACATTCATTGAAGTAGGTTTTAACAATATAGCAGTTAACTTCAAACTATTTAGATGAATAGACTCAGAATTTTTAGATATTTCTTGGGAGTTTAACTTTGATTCATTAACAGTATCTATGTTAATACCAGTACTTGTAATATCTTCCTTAGTTCATATTTATTCTATAGGATATATGAGTCATGATCCACATAACCAAAGATTTTTTAGTTACTTAAGTTTATTTACTTTTATGATGATAATACTTGTAACAGCTAACAATTTTTTATTAATGTTTGTAGGTTGAGAAGGTGTAGGAGTTTGTTCATATCTGTTAGTTAGTTTTTGATTTACTAGAATAGCAGCAAATCAAAGTTCTCTTTCTGCGTTTCTAACAAATAGAGTAGGTGATACTTTTTTAACTTTAGGATTATTCGCCATACTCTGATCTTTTGGGGATCTTAATTATTCTACAGTATTTTCGTTAAGTCCTTTTATGAATGAACATATATTAACAATCATAGGCGTGTGTTTATTAATAGGGGCTATGGCAAAAAGTTCTCAGGTAGGTTTACACGTGTGATTACCTATGGCTATGGAAGGTCCTACACCCGTTTCTGCATTAATACATGCTGCAACTATGGTTACGGCAGGTGTATATTTGTTAATGCGTTCATCACCGTTAATAGAATACAGTTCTACAGTGTTGTTATTATGTCTATGATTAGGTGCTATTACAACAGTGTTTAGCTCTCTTATAGGTTTATTCCAACAAGATATAAAAAAAGTTATAGCCTATTCCACAATGAGTCAATTGGGTATGATGGTTATAGCTATTGGTTTATCTTCATATAATATCACACTATTCCATTTAATAAATCATGCTTTTTATAAAGCATTATTATTCCTAGGAGCCGGGTCTGTTATACATGCCGTAGCAGATAATCAAGATTTCAGAAGATATGGGGGCTTAATATGTTTTTTACCTTTAACTTACACAGTAATGTTAATAGCTTCTTTAAGTTTGATCGCATTCCCCTTCATGACAGGATTCTACTCTAAAGATCTTATTTTAGAATCAGCATATGGACAATTTTACTTTTCAGGTACTGTGGTATATTTCATAGCTACTATAGGTGCTATGTTTACTACATTATACTCAGTAAAAGTTTTATATCTAACTTTTTTAAGTAATCCTAATGGTTCTCTTGTAAACTATAAACAAGCTCATGAAGGTGATTTATATATGAGTATACCTTTAATAATTTTAGCATTGTTTTCTATATTCTTTGGATTTTTAACTAAAGACATATTCATAGGATTAGGATCTAGTTTTTTCATGGATAATGCATTATTCATACACCCTTCGCATGAAATATTATTAGATACAGAATTTGCGGTAAGAAAATTTTTTAAACTTTTACCTTTAATTTTAACTATTTCATTAAGCATTATATCTATTGTTATATCTGAATACATACCTTCTGTGTTACTTCAATTTAAATTCTCTAGATTTGGTTATAATGTTTTTGGTTTCTTTAACCAAAGATTTTTAATTGAATTATTTTACAATAGATATATTACTAATGTTATCTTGAATTTTGGGGGTCAAACCACTAAAATACTAGATAAAGGTTCTATTGAATTAGTTGGTCCTTATGGACTAGAAGTAGGTCTGATACATGTAAGTAAAAATATAGGTAAATTAGATACTGGTATTGTAACATCTTATGCTTTATATATCTTAATAGGTTTAATTTTTTATATTTCTATTCCATATTTAACATATTATGATAACAATATGTTAATTCTAATTTTATTAGGTACTATTACTTTAGCGTCTAAAAAAAACAATGTTATAAATGTAAATTTAGCTAGTGTACCTATGAGTGCTTCATCTATTTTATTCATACCTCATGAAAATATTCTTTTATTGAATGAGGGATATACTTACGGTTATTCAATTGAATTATTGTTTATCGTATCACTTATAGCTATTTTATGTAGTATTTGGGTAGTAATTGTTTCAAATCCTATTTATTCTGTTTTATTTTTAATAGGTCTATTTGTGTTATTATCTTATATACTAATGATATTGGGTTTAAATTTCTTAGCTTTATCCTATATATTAGTATATGTAGGTGCTATATCTATTTTATTTTTATTTATACTGATGCTTATAAACATAAGAATATCAGAATTGTTAAGTGATAATTGAAATAGTATAGTGTTATGTATATTAATATTATTCCTAAGTATATTAAATTTTTCAAATCTAAATTTATTTTCTTACTCTCTTTGAAATAACACATTTGCGGTAACATCTAAAGGTTGAGAAAACATAATGGATATTTCACATATTATGGTAATAGGTAGTATATTATATACTAGTTATTTCATGTGATTAATATTAGCATCAATAATTTTATTATTAGCTATGGTTGGAGCTATAATTATTACAAATAAAGAATATTTGAAAGAAAACATTGAAGAAGATTTTGCAAAAAAAATGATTACTTATAGAGAAAATTATCTAGATGCAAAAGTTAAATGGTCTAATATATCTAACTTTGGGGGATATATATTGCCACTTCTTGAATTAGATATTTCAAGGCTATTATTGACTAATTCTATATTCTTATTTACCCTTTCAGCTATATTAATATTTAGTCTATTTTTGTACATATTATTACTGAAAGGCCCTAAACCTAATCCGGGTGGGCCGGCACCTAATCAGCCCCCGCCTGATGCTCCACCCAATTAGTCACAGTTGACTAAGGGGTGTTTATTACCACTTCTTGAATTAGATTCAAGAATATCCTTTTTATTTGCCGTATTACCATTATTAATAATAGTTTTATTAATAATTTTATTAGCTGAAGATTCTGAATCTGATAAAAAATCTCCCCCTAAAAAGCCTATTTTTGAGCATGAATCTAGAAGACGTCCAGTACCAGGAAAACCATGTCCAAACTGTTTAGATAAAGGAAAATTAGTTTGGACGATACCTGGTTGTCGTTGTAGGGAATGTGGTACGCTAGTTAATTATTAATATAATTAGACTAATTTTCTATAAAAAAAAGGCTAAATTTTTAGGATTTTTATTTTTTAAAGAAAGAAGTTTTTTATTTATAAATATATTATTTACTAAATATAGATGTAAATATTAAATAAAAAAAATAAAAAAAAATATAAACGATAAAAAAACAAGTATTAATAAAAAATATTAAAAAAAAAAGTAAAGGAAGGTCCCGTTTGCTGGTATGACGGGTTGAGCTGTAAACTCAATGGCAATTGCTATCAAAGGTTCAATTCCTTTTCTTCCTAAGTTATACATTGATTGTATTAATTATAATGTATTTTTAATATATAAATTAAAAAAACTATATTCTAAAAAATTTAGGTCAAAAAAAGGGTATGTCATGAAAATGTAAATCAAAGACAGAATTATACGAATCAAATAGCAGATTTGGATCAGAGACTTAATAATTTGATTGCAAGGCGAGATGTTTTGAGACAGAGGCAGAATTTTTTCGAAACAGGAATCTTTGAATTGGAATTAGAATCTATTAATTTTAATATAAGTACTTTACAAAGAGAACTAAGACTTGTTCAAGGAAATAGAGATTTATTAGATAGGATCCCTGCAAGATCTATAACAGAAGCTCGAGAACAGGCAAGATTAGTACAAGAGGCTAGGTTAAGATTAATGGGTCTCCAAAGACAAGCTGGAACTAGAATAAGTCAAAGACAACTAGGTGGTACAATACCCGAAAGTAATGCTAGTGGTAGAAGAGTATTAGGTGTAATTTTTTTTCCTGGTTATGATCCTAGTCTTGAACGAGGTAATAGTACTAGTAATAATCTAGGAAATAATACTTCTGCTAATACTGGTGTGCCTGTGCCTAGTAATCAGGCTTCTGCGAATACTGGTGTGCCTGTGCCTAGTAATCAGGCTTCAGCTAATACTGTTGTACCTACTAGTAATAATCAGGGTAATACGTCTGCTAATAATACTCAAAATAGTTATCCTGGAATAAGTAACTACACAATTTATGAGGATTAAAGTTATACTAATTATAAGAGAAACTAGCTATTTTAATTAAATTGTGTAATTATATTTAACTTTAGCTTTTGAATAATATTAATATTATTAATAGTATTAATGGTATAAGTGGTAAATTTTTTTACATAGAAAAGAACATGAGAATTTTAAAAAGTAACCCATTATTGAGATTAGTCAATAATTATCTAATTGATGCAAGCCAACCCAGTAATTTGACATATGCATGAAATTTCGGTTCTTTATTAGCATTTTGTTTAGTGATACAAATAGTTACAGGTGTAACTTTAGCTATGCATTATAACCCTAGCGTGTTAGAAGCCTTTAATTCAGTTGAACACATTATGAGAGATGTGAATAATGGTTGATTAATACGGTATTTACATGCTAATACAGCTTCAGCATTTTTTTTTTTAGTTTATTTACACATAGGTAGAGGTCTTTATTATGCATCATACAAATCACCCAGAACTTTAACATGAGCTATAGGTACTGTAATTTTTATATTAATGATGGCTACGGGATTTTTAGGTTATGTTTTACCTTATGGTCAAATGTCTTTATGAGGTGCAACTGTTATAACTAATTTAATGAGTGCCATACCATGATTGGGCCAAGATATAGTAGAGTTCATCTGAGGTGGTTTTTCCGTAAATAATGCCACTTTAAATAGATTTTTCTCATTACATTTTTTATTGCCATTTATTTTAGCTGCACTAGCTTTGATGCATTTAGTAGCTTTACATGAAGGATCCGGATCTAGTAATCCTTTAGGGTTTTCAGGACTTTACGATAGATTAGTTTTTTCACCTTATTTTATATTTAAAGATTTAATTACAATATTTATATTTATATTAATATTATCTTTATTTGTTTATTTTATGCCGAATGTCTTAGGAGATAGTGAAAATTACGTTATGGCCAATCCTATGCAAACTCCTGCTGCTATTGTACCTGAATGATATCTTTTACCTTTCTACGCAGTATTAAGATCTATCCCTAATAAATTGTTTGGTGTTATAGCAATGTTTTCAGCAATTTTAATATTATTAGCAATGTCATTTACAGATTTAAGTAAATTAAAAGGAATTACATTTAAGCCTATAACTAAAATAATCTTTTATATATTTACAGCTAATTTCGCAATGTTAATGCTTCTAGGTGCTAAACATGTAGAAACACCTTTTATAGAATTTGGTCAAATTACTACTACTTTATATTTTCTACAATTTTTATTAACAGTACCCTTAATAACTTCATATGAAAATAGTTTAGGTAAAATTTTATTACTAATAAAATTAGGTCTAGGAAAAAATATTTCAGAAACGAAATAAGCCTATATTTCTATTTTGCCTGGTTTTTATTAGTAATACCAGATATAGATGACATAAATAAAATACTTGGTGATTGAATAAGATTTTTACCTTTATTAATATTAGTATTATTATTAATAATTTTATTAGCTGAAGAATCAGATTATGATTCCGATAGAAAATCTCCGCCTAAAAAGCCTATTTTCGAACATGAACCTAGAAAACGACCAGTACCAGGAAGAAAATGTCCAAACTGTCTATCTAAAGGAAATACAGTTTGGGTGATACCTGGTAAATGTTGTAGCCAATGCGGTACTGATGTTAATTAGTTTATTTAAGTGAATTTTTTTTTTCTAACTACATAAATTTATTAGGGTTTTTTATTAAAAAATAAAGAGAAGTTTTTCTAACATATCTATTTAATATAGATTATAAAAATATTTACACAAATGTAAATAATAAAAAATAAAGAAAGGTCTTGGTATGACGGGTTGAGCTGTAAACTCAATTGCAATTGCTATCTAAGGTTCAATTCCTTTTCTTCCTAAGCTATACATTGTTTGTATTAATTCTTATAATCTATATTAAATATGTGAATTCAAAAAACTGTATTCTAAAAAATTTAGGTCAAAAAAAGGGGTATATCAAAAATGGTTTAAGTCTAAAAAGTTCAAGTCTCTTACATCCTTCGTGTTATTATTCAATATCGTTTATTTTATACTGTCTACTGCCACTTTGTCAGGAAACAGTAAAAGTATCCCTTTTGCTCGCGGTTCTTTATTTTCATTATTTATAGTTTATTTGCTTTATTGTAATACTTACGTTTTTTCTTTTATCAAAAGTATTGGGTTATTTGGCGGTTTATTTTTTTATAGCTTTACGAATATAAGTGTAAGTTTATTTTTACTTTCTATTACTTCTATCATTTTGGGTTTAAATAGTTTCTATAATTATGAAAACATCGTTAACAGCTCTAACAATAATACAATTTCTGAAAAAAATTTACTAAAAATAAAAAAAAAAAATCTAATTTTAGAGCATCCTTTAATAGTAGTATTTATTATAACAGGTTCTTTTTTTCTTATAACAAGTGGTGATCTTATCTCCCTTTTTTTAGCCTTGGAATTACAAAGTTATGGCTTGTACTTAATATGTACAATCTATAGAAATTCTGAAACATCTACTAAAGCTGGCTTAATATATTTTTTACTAGGTGGACTATCCTCTGCTATTATCTTACTGGGTCAAAGTTTGATTTATGCAAATTCTGCGAATACGAATTTAGATGGTTTATATATATTAACAGCCATTCAAACTAGCTTTAACACAAATGATCTTAATTTAGAGATAAACTATGCTATGGTTATTATGTCCGTTGGCTTTTTATTTAAAGTAAGTGCTGCACCTTTCCATTTTTGAAGTCCAGACGTTTATGACTATGTTCCTACTTTAATTACATTGTTCATATCTTTAATTCCGAAAATATCCATTTTAATTTTGTTTTTAGAATTCGTATACTTTACAGGTTATTATTCTAACTTAAATTGAACTAATAACCTGTTAGTCAGTTCAATAATATCTATGGTAATAGGATCAGTTTTAGGTATATCCCAATATAGAATAAAAAGAATATTAGCTTATAGTACTATTAGTCATCTAGGTTTTATTTTATTAGGCCTAACTATAATACAAATAGAATCCATACAAGGTTTTTTTTTCTATCTTATACAATACATATTTACTAATTTGAACGGATTTATCATACTTATAACAATAGGTTATTTTTATAATTATGAAATGAAGCTATTTTCTACTGAGTCTGAATCTTTTCTAAATTATAAAAAGGATGATAACATAAATTATAAAGTCTATGATAGTGATAAAAATATCGACATGCATAGTGTTGCCGATTCGGATGCTAGCTCGAATAAAAATTCTACTGCCAACTCCAATAAAAATATAAAAGTTGACTGGATTATCGACTCTAAGACCAACTCTAGTGAAGACTCCTACAGGAATTCTCTTTATCGATTAAAATTAAACCAATCTAAGAATATAGATAAATTAAAGACGGAGATAAATTTAAAAGAATTAGAAAATTCTCCTATTCAAATTATAAAACAGCTAAGAGGTTTGTATAAAAAAAACATTATTCTTGCCTTAAGCTTAAGTATAACGTTTTTTTCTTTCTTAGGAGTACCACCCTTAATAGGATTCTTTGCAAAACAGATGATTTTAAGTGCAGCGCTTGACAAAGGATTTTTATTTCTAGTAATTATTGCTATAATTAGTAGTGTTATAAGTGCAGTATATTATTTATTTGTGATTAAGGAAGTTTGATTTTTTGAAAAAACAATTATTTTTAATTTAAATTTCGAAAATGCTTTAAAAGCTAACGATGAATTAAAAATAAATAGTTACATGTCTATAATTATATCATTATTAACCATAATTTCTTTTATATTCATTGTAATACCAGACGAATTATTAAGATGAATTAATATTATAACATACATTTTATTTCAATTATAGTTTTTTAATTCATATAATTTTTTTAAGAGATAAAAACCATTTAATTTATAGATTTAGAAATAGATATTTTTAGACATTTAATAAATTTTACATAATATTTGATATAACTTAAAAATTCATTATACATAGACGTTAACACAGCTAGTTATGAGTTCAATGGGTACCAAAATACGTCTCAGAATTAGTTCTTTTTATTCTTTTTAAGGTTTATTCAATACACGTGTAAATTAGATATATTAATGAAATAAAAAATACAAATAACAGGTATTTTTTTTTAGATTAGAAAAGAAAGGAAAATTCCTTAGTATAATCCCTTAACATTATAGCTTATCTAGTTACAGCTATGCTACAGCTATACTACAGCTATGCTACAGCTATACTACAGTTATACTAGTTATGCTACACCTATACTACAGTTATGCTACACCTATACTACACTTATGCTACAGCTATGCTACAGCTATTACTAAGAAAAAAGATGTTTTCAACCACATATAAATGAAGATATATTCAAGAAATTTATAGATTTGATTTAGATATACATATACATATTCAAGAATTTTAACATGCAAACTTTTACATACTTTACAGCATTTATTTTTATAGTTGCTACTTTATTACTATCTTTAAATTTTACTTTAGCACCTCATTTCCCTTATTTAAAAAAAAGAGATCCCTTTGAATGCGGCTACATAGGATTTCAAATGACTCGTCTACCTTTTAATATCTCTTTTTTTTTATATGCGTTACTCTTCTTATTATTTGACCTCGAAATACTATTAGCATATCCCTTTGCACTAAGCATATTCATTAATACAATATTTGGTCTTATTACGGTTTTAGTGTTTTTCTTATTATTAACAATAGGCTTTGTTTTTGAACTAGGTAAAGAAGCATTAACAATAAAGTCTAAATTAGCAAATATTTCTATTATACCCGGTTCTATCTTGGTAATATCTGAGATAAATGATTTAAATATAGTACCTGTAGATTCATCAATATTATTTTCATCTAACATATTCCCTCTATTCATAATATTTTTAATCGTATTATTATTGGTTTTATTGGCTGTAAAAGAGTCTTCCGATGAAAAAGGTGAATCTTCTGAAGGAAAGACAGAGACTACCGATAAAAAACCTACGGCTGACGGTGGGAAAACTACGGGTTAGGAAGAAAAAACTGCTGAAGATAATAAGAAGAAACCTGTTAAATTACCTAAACCTATCGAGAAACCTGGACCCTCTTATACACCACAAAGACCTCCACGTGATCCTGGTCCAAGAGGATGTCCAAATTGTCAATTCCCAATAACAATAGGTTGACGTTGTCCTGAGTGTGATATTCCATCTAAACCCGAGAATCCTTTTGGAGGGTACGGAGCCGGAAAAGGGGGGCCCGGTAGATTTTTTTTTTAGTTAAAGAATGAATTTCAGTTATATTCTTTATATACTTCAAAGACCTCCACATGATCCCGAACCAAGAGAAGAAAAGATTGAAAATATTATTAATTTTTTTTTTTCATAAAACTGTAAAATTTAACATAATTACTTTTATATAAAGTACACCACTTTTAGTCTTTATTATTATATTACACAATACGCATAAAAGTATATATTTTTTAGTATGATAAAAAAATATATAAAGATAAATAGTGAATTGTTATGCATAACAAGTAATATATTATATATATAAATATATAATTAGTATGACACTAACTTTCTTTAGCATAGATTATAATATTATCATATATGTCTTATATTGTAAGCCTTTATAGCTCAATGGTAGAGCGAGATACTGTTAATATTTTGATAAATGTTCGATTCATTTTAAAGGCTAAAATTTCTTGTAGTATTTTATGTTGTTAGTTAATTTATAAAAAAGAAAAAAAACTTAGTAAAAATTTTAGTGTACGTATACTTAATAATAATAATTAAACATAACTTTTTTATACTTTAAATCCTATAGTACACTGCATTACATTGCATAGTTTAATTAAAAATTTTTTCGTGAATAAATATAATATTTTTATAAAAATTTTTTTTAGAGAATGATTAGAGTCTTATATATAAATAATGATTAGAGTCTTTTTTTTTAGATAGTTATTATAGTCTTTTTTATAGATAATGATTATAGTCATTATAGTCATTATAGTCATTATAGTCATTATAGTCATTATAGTCATTATAGTCATTATAGTCATTATAGTCATTATAGTCATTAT